TTTTTTTTTTTTTTCTTTAGGCTTTTTTTTTTTTTTGCGTCGCAAAAGTTACAGTTTTAATGTAATTTTTGATGTGGAAAGTGATTTAAATAGATTTTATTGTCATTCTGTTCATTCTTTTTTTTTTTTGTTGTTTTGTTAAATACTAGAACACAGAACAATGGTGTAACCTATTTTAAAAATGAATGTAATTTATTAAGCTGGGCTTAGCTACGCGCGGTTGTCCTCGGCCAATCAGGAGCCGGTTCTAGATCTCTCGTTCGGGACGTCACGCCGTAGCGCAAGCGAGGCTATAGAACTGCTTGTGTTATGTAAAAATGTTTATTGTATAGGTAAAGTTTTACCAAAAAAAAAAAAAAAACTGAAATAGAAAAAAGAAAAAATATTAAAAATAAAATATAATAATAATAATAAAATACAAAACTCTGTAGTATGATAGTTATTTCATAATAATAATATTAAGTTGTTGCTGTGGCAACGTAAAAGTTGCGAATACTAAATTTTGGTATTTTTGTAAATGATGTAATTAAGTTGATTTTTTTTCTTTACGTTTGTTCTTTTTGTTTTTTTCCTAGGGCACTGTAAAACATTAGATCGTAAAGCAGATATTGGAACATTTCCTATTTTATGTCAAGATTATATTACCAGGAGATTTTTCGGTAGCATTTAATGGCCTCTTTATTGGTGTAACATTTAAGATAGCAGTAAATACTCACCAGTTACAATAGTGTGACGTAACTTAAGAAACTTCTAGTGTTGGGTTAACCCGCGCCCCTTCCCCATTTTAGATTGACGAAGGATCTCAAGTACTTGTGAAGATCGTTTTCTATATTATTTATGAAAGTTGTCCTGGTTTGTTCAACAGCTTGAATGAGTCAACGATTGCACTTTGATTTCATGTAACTGTAGGATGTTCATTTCAAAAACTGATGCACAGTGAATATGGTATGGCAACACAAATAATGACGGTTGTTTTATTGCTTTAGTTAAACCAGACAACTAAATACTCCGTAAGCATCTTGCATGGTATTTTATGTCAAATTAAGAAGTTATTTTCAATTTAATCTGAGAAAAAAATAATATATATATATATATATATATTGAATGTTTCTATCTACACTATAGAAAAAAAACCTGCACATGTGATGAAAGCAACAGTTGTACTTAATTTGGGATTTCTTACACCCCAAACGAAATGTACAGTTGTGGGACAAAAAAAAATAATGTTGACTGATGGTGAAAAAAGCACTTTCGAATCAGTTGATATACTGAGCAGACACAGCGTATCCAAACACTTTGCCTTACCTTTAGTCCATTGTTTTTAAGCTTTTGTGTTTCAGAGCTATTAATATGTACTAGGGTGTCAACAGAACTTACTTCTCACCTGCATTTATATATGAATATACTATACCTATAACTAAGACATGTAAGAGTTTATTATTATTATTGTCACTGAGAGACCAAAAGGTTTGACGTTGTTGATGCTTTTCAATGACCTTTCCTGTTTGTGACGAGATGCTGTTCTCAAGGGATTGTGGGTATTTTACGCTGTGCTGCTTGACTTCCATCAGTAATGCAGTAGCCCATCGACACACACACATACACATGTGTTCAGAGATCATATGAGAAGAAAATTATAAACCAAGCCCTCTTTGGATAATATTAGTTTTCATGTAACCATTTTAAATGTTTTATTTGTGCATATATATATTATGTGCTATTTTATGTCATATAGTCAAATGTTTTTGGTTCCAGAAAAATAGTGTAAAATCTATTGAGACAAAATGAATAAAGAAAGAAAAAAAAAGACAGATGTGTTTTTTCAATGCTTGATTGTGTTTCATTTGCGTGATTGTGTGTGAAACTACAGTGCTTTTGGGATTCTACCATGGTATTTTAACCAAGCCAAGTTTCCGTCCATTTTTTGCACTGCTGTTATTGACCAGTGACATTATAGTTTTTATTAATATTTTGATTTAGATTTTACATTTATTTTTACTGTCTTTGTCATTTTTTGTTGAAGTTTTAGTCATTTTTAATGTTTTTATTATTGTTCATTTCACTTTTATTTTAGTACTTAAAGTAACTAAATTAAAATAAGAAATGACACCTTGGCAAATAGCTGAAATAAAAAGAAAAGTTAGCATATCTTTTAATTTTATTTAGGTTAACTGTTATTTTTTATGGTTTTAGTTTAGTTAACTATAATAATCCTGCTATCGACAAAGTGAAATGCGTTTGAAAAAAGAAAGTGAAGTCTCCAGACTGTTTCCAATTAGCTTTTACTGATAAAATGGTGTGTAAAGGTGAAACTATGATATATGAATATGGTTATCTTTCAATATAATAGCGTTATCATCTGATACCATCATCTTGCCATGGTATTCTTTGAATAATTTAAAACTGATCTTGTATTAGTTGTGCAAGTGTACTGTACAATCAATTTAGTCAGACTGTATAAGTTATTAGTTCTCACGTTTTAAATGAATATTCAATGCAACGATTTTTATTAATATTATTATGATACATTTTTGATGCTTTTATATGCATCTTTGAAGCTTGAAAAGCTCAGTACATTTATTGTAATTGCATGCAAAACAATGACCAGCTAAATCTGATTTGTGTTTCACAGAAGAACGAAAACACACATAGGTATGAAAAGACATGATGAACAAATAATGACTGATTTTTCATTTTTGGCTGAACTAGTCCTTAAATCATTGCATTTTGTTGTAACGTTGTTTAATTTCATTTTGATTTATTAGGATAATTTACTGTTCTTTGTACAATACTTTCTTGGCTTTATACCCAGTGAACTGCTGATGCATAATAGATATGATTTACCACTGTTGTAACTCAAGCCAGGTTCATGTCTACTGGTGCTTTCTAATGAAAGCTGTAGGCCCTGACATGTGGAGATGGATAATTTATTAAGAGGTAAGAACTGCACAACCCATATTCCTCTGAATGTGACTGTAGATTACATAAAGACATGCTTAAAAAACATGTATGAATTGCATTGTATTCAGTAACAATATAAGTAAAAGTGGCATTTATTTTAAACAAAGACAGCACTCTGTTCAAGCAAAACATTTGGTAAGTTTCAAATAAACAATATATGCGGTGTTGAAAATGAAGACGTGTGACTTAAAATGGAAGTGAAAAGAAACTATCCTGCAGATATAGACAATCGATCTAATGAACGGCGATCACATATTTAGGTATCGTACTTTAATGAACCACTGCAGACTTACAGCCTCCATCAGCGCACACAATGGCCGCATCCCTGTTGCTTGCTATTTCAGGTGCTGATGCAGGCGACGCACTGTTGCCATAGGAACAGCATCCCCAGCATCATGTATTGACACTCTCCCTGCCGCCGCCTCTCATTGGTCGTTCAAATGGAGCTGTAACTATTCGCGTCGCAGTTAAAAGCGGAAGTCCCGCTCACCACATTGACCATTACCTTATTAAGCCAAGCAGGCGTGGCTTACCGTTCTCCTCTGCGCGCATTGAGCGCTCAGCGCATCAATCCCGCTATAAAACTCCTATCCTTGAGCTGAGACTGTGTGGTCTGGCTTCAGAAGGTCTCCACCCGAGAGTATGGCGGTTGAGGATCCTGGAAGATGCAGAATAGCTATTCTGAAATGCAGCAGCGTCCTAAGGATCCCCAAATGACGCTCGGAGGGGACGCGTGATGCCTTATATGCTCGTCTTGAAGGGACGCGAGGCGCTTTTTATAACCTAAAATGTACGCAAATACATCGGGCAGGCTTTTAAAATATTATTTCTTCAAGCAGCTGTTGGGTTCCGGCTATTCTAGGTGGTTAGAGATGCCATGAAGTCCGCGCAGTGGCTCTTTGTGCGTCTCTGTTATTTGTCTCTATGGTGAGTGTCGCAATACAGCCATGGCTCCGCGTCTGCTCGACTTCTGCAATATTCAAGGCAAGTTTCCCGTCGCATCTGATCGGGTTGGACACTGTTAGCTGGTTCCATTACGCGCGTCACGTCGGGTTCGGATCCGTGCGCAATGCGCGAATATAAGGTGGTGGTGCTCGGCAGCGGAGGGGTCGGGAAATCCGCTCTCACGGTCCAGTTCGTGACCGGGACCTTCATCGAGAAGTACGACCCGACTATCGAAGACTTCTACCGCAAGGAGATCGAGGTGGATTCGTCGCCGTCGGTGCTGGAGATCCTGGACACGGCCGGCACGGAACAGTTCGCGTCCATGCGGGATCTCTACATCAAGAACGGCCAGGGCTTCATCCTGGTCTACAGCCTGGTCAACCAGCAGAGCTTCCAAGATATAAAGCCCATGAGAGATCAGATCATCAGGGTGAAGAGGTAAGACAAATACTATGGCTAATATTACCACTGTATTCTTTGAGGTCAGCATGGTAATACCATCTGCTACCGTAATATTAGCACATACATAGTATTCTTTGAAGCGCATTGGAGTACCATGGCATTATGATGCTATAATTTACCATGCTACTATCACAGTGTTGTTGTTTTTTTCCAAGGCGAAAAGCTTAAACTTATGGAAATGCAAGTTAGTACTGTTTTTTGGACATGTATCACGGTTAATATTAAAGTGTCTTAATATTATTAGCTTGTGCTACTATCACTGTACAATGGTTTTATAAGTACTTTTTTTAAAAGTCTTAAATGAATATGATAATCATTCAGTACCATAACATATATTGTATTGAAGTTCCATGGCATTACCATCATTTTAATGCAGCTGAACACTGTTATTGAGGCTGTTACCACAATTTTACCATGGTTACTGCCACAGTACTATTTGTAGATTCATGATGAAAAACAATCAACTTAAAAAATGATGGTATTAATGTTTTTTGGACAAATACTGAAGTACCATGATATTAGCATCTGATACCATCATTTCACCATGGTACTGCCACAGTACTTTTTTTTTTTTTTTTTAAAGTTTAGGGTTGAAAAACAATAAACATACAGAAAACAATGATATTACCATGTTTTGGTCATGTACTACGGTAAATATTAAGGTGACATTGTATCAGCATCTCATAATTTTACAAAAGTACTGCCACAGTACTTTTTTTTGTAAATTCAAGGTAAAAACAATAAACATGTGGAAAATGATGGTATTACCATGTTTGTGGACATGTAACATGCACATTTTCAAGTACCATGGTATTAACATCTGATTACCATGGTACTGCCACTGTAGTTTAATTTCGAGGTGAAAATAGTCCACTTAGGAAACCATGTTAATACCATGTTTTTGGACATATACCGTGGTATTAGCATCTAATAGCATCATTTTCCATGGTACCACCGCAGTACTTTGTTTGTAAGTGTTATATGAATATGGTAATCATTCAGTATTGTGGTATATGCTATATTAAAGAACCATGGTATTACTGTAATTTTACCATGGTACTGCCACAGTAAGCTCAATCTGAAAAAAGCAGACAGTTTGTTTCCTCTAAATGAGCTGAACTTTCCGAGGTTTTAAGCAGATGGAAAGACTTGAGCGCGTGTGGAATAATATAATGGTGTGTCTTTAGTGTGACGTTAATAATAAGTCCAATGGGAGGCCGCGTCTATTCTAATCTTTCCATAATTTAACTTTAGGCCTAGAAACAGATGCTGTATTGTTTGTGTTTTTCCAGATCAACTCTTAAAAGGGGTTTGAACACATTGCTTTCATAAACGAGATCAACAGAACAATTCAAAACAGGTAAAGGTAAAGCACACATAGACAAAAGATTAATCACTGTAGCGTCAAAACCTGAAAGGCCTGAATTATCATGTCAGAACCTTGAATCAAGCTCTTATTTATGCACTTTTCTCATATTGTCTTGTGGCATTCGTCTGGTTCATTGTGACAAATACAGTAATTGTTGCATTTTTTGAATAGCAAAAGCACTCTTATGAACAGTAGTGCTAGTAAGGAGGTGTGATGTCACACTAGCGGAGCGGTGAGTAATTGGCTACTTTACTACGGTAATCAAGTCATGACACATCAAAGCTGCAGGTTGCCTGAAAATGTTTTCTTTTGTTTTTTTTTGTCATATTTGCATGCAGTAATTTGACAATTTGTCATACAGAACAGCTTAAAAGTCTTTGGAAACTTGATTTGGTTCTGAACGGATATTTTATATAGCAAGAAGTAGGCCCATATTTAGTTATTTCTGTACATGCATGTTGGGTAGGGTGACCATACGTGCCATTTTCCCAGGACGCGTCCTGGGAAAATGGCACGTATGGTCACCCTAATGTTGGGTTTATTTAGCAATTATGATGACTGCATTTATCCCTCTTATTTCTACTTACCAAATTTATGCAAGCCTGTTTCTGCCTTGGAATTAAAAAATAAATAAATAAATTCCACTATTCAGATTTAGATTTTCAGAATTGTGAGAAATAAACTCCCAATTCGGATTTTATTCTAAAATCTATGTTTACATCTGGCAATTTTGACTTTTTTTTCTGAATTCCAAGTTTACATCGCACAATTCAGTTTTTTTGTTTGTTTGTTTCCGCTACAGAATAAAGAATAAAAAAACGTTTGAGACTTTTTGTCTCACGGTTCTTTCAATTCTGACTTTTTTCTTCTAATTCTGAGTTTATATCTCACAGTACTGACCTTATATCTCAGAATTCTTTTTTCCAAAGAGTTTTTTCTTGCTATTGCAAGTTTATTTCTTGAAATTCTGAGTTTATATCTCAAAATTCAGACTTTTTTTCTCAGAATTGTGAGAAAAAAAATTGAATTGTGAGATAAGATTGCTATTACCTTTTAATTTTTTTTTAATGCTGTGGCAAAAATAAGCTTCAAGTTACCAAATAAACAAATGAATGCATTATTAAATAAATGAACAAATATTGATTGGACTTTTATTATTTTACTTTGAAGAAAATGTGCTGAACGAAATGAGACTTACACAGTTCTGTAGGAAATCACTTAAATGAAATACATAAAATTAAAACATAAATCGAAGGCGTGATGAAATTCCTGCGGAAATCCCAGCCACTAAACACACTCAGGATGGACACATTATGTTTTTGCAGCTTTATCTCTCTCTCTGTGAATTGAATTGGCGCCGTTTCATGCCAGAACCTGCAAAAACCCTCTAAACCTCTGGCACAGGTTGTTAATCTGCAGGAGGAGGCAGATACATGCTGAGACGGCGGATGATAACTACAGTAACACTGGTGAGATTTGCACACTCACCAAAATATAAATGAGATTGAGTGCTGGTGGAAGCCAAAGAAACATTACGACTGCATTAGCGCACACTAACCCAAAGGCACACTTGACTTCTGGCAGTGAGAGCCTGAGAAGAGGAAATGTGGGCGGATCCGTCGGTCATCTGCTTTATATCTAAGGCTAAACACTGCTTTAATGAATTTAGATTAAATCACACGTCGTCTTATTCAATTTAGCTACAGTAGGTGTTTAAAAAACGTACAGCGCAGCCCACACTCAATCTGTGCACTGTTTCACATAGTCTGAGTATGGAATTCTGTGAAAAGCATTTACATGTTGTAAAATGTGTTAAAATTATGCTAATTGGTATCTCAAATCATTAATAGCGTGAATGGCAGGTGTTCAGACTCCATGCAGATAAATAGCAATAGTAGTTAATAACTGAAGCATATCGAGATTTGTGTACAAATCTTTTTTTTTTGTAATCATATTAATATTGATGTATCTGATGTATACATTTTTATTAAATGTATCACAAAGGAAAGAGATTGCAACATATACGCCAACATAAATACTTAATATTTAAAATGCATGGAATATTATTAAAGTAAAAATATACTTTTAGTATTAGAGTACTAGAATTATAGAATTAGAAGGGTATAACTTTTTATTTTATTTATTATTATTTATATATACTACATAATATATAGAGAGAGAAATAGAGAGATTTTATATAGATTATTTAATGGTTTTGAAAGTAGTCTCTTCTCACCAAGGCTGCATTTATTTGACCGAAATATACAGTAAAAACAGTAAGATTGTGAAATATTATTACAGTTTAAAATAACTGTTTTCTATTTGAATATATTTTTAAAAGTCAAAGCTGATTTTTCAGCATCATTACTCCAGTCTTCAGTGTCACATGATCCTTCAGAAATCATTCTAATATGCTGATGTGCTGCTTAAGAAACAATTCTGATTATTATCAATGTTGAAAATAGTCGTGCTGCTCAATTTATTTGTTCAAGTTCAAGTTTTTTTCAAGTTCAACTGAACAGAATTTATTTGAAATAGAAATATTTATTATAAATGACATTACTGTCACTTTTGATCAATATAATGTCTCGTGTTTTGTGATTCATTTTTATTTAATCTTGCTGTATAGTTGAATATATATATATATATATAAATGTGTGTGTGTGTGTGTGTGTGTGTGT